TTGCTATTTGGTTTTCGACTTTATCGATTGCTGAAAAGTAAGAGTTGGCAGCAGCAGATTGATTTGTCTCATAAACATATAGGCCAATCTGTTTTTCGATTGATTTATTCGCCATGTTGAGACTCTTAAGCAAGGTCCGAACGCCTCCAAGTTTGCTTCACTCATCATTGTAGTAACTATTATGATGGGGAGTCTTTCGACAATTTGCCGTGAAAATTATAGACTATGTATCACACTTTTGATCTTCCCAATCATTTGAATGGATTCTTAGTCAGCACTGTGTGATAAGATCCTTAAGCGGGAGTAGAAACGCGTCATACTTTGGTTGAAGCACCTACTCTCAACCGCAGTTTATTTGAGCATAGAAATCAAAAGATGAATAAGAAAACATTACAAGAAATATTAGTGAGACTAACGAGGGAGCATTCTCAACTGTCACATCGCTTTTAAGCTGAACGTATGCGCATTATGTAGACCCTCACGATCTATGAATTCTCTGAAAAAAAGTTCGTGCTGCTAGTTTATTATTACCGAGATACAGCGTTATTACTGTATGTTTAAGAAAAAAAAGCCGTGGTCCCCCTCAGGAACATCGGAAAACTGAATTTCGAATTTCGTCTTGAAACTTTGCACAGATATAGGCCTCAATTAGAATAGTTTATTGTGAAAGTTTCAGCTCTTTTCGCTGTTCCTATCCTAAGATATAGCTATCGTAAAATTGTTCATATACACCAGCAGATCCGATGTTCTTATCTCAGACTAGGAGCAACCAAAAAATCTGAAACCTTCACAATAAACTATTCTCATTGAGGCCTGTCTACATGCAAAGTTTCAGGTGGAAACGCAAAAGTCACTTTTCCTGATGTTCCTGAGGGGGACCACGCCTTTTTCCTTAAACATACAGTAAAAATGCTGTATCTCAGCAGTAAGAAGCTAGCAGCACGAACTTTTTTCAGGACATTCATAAGTCATTAGGGCCTACATAATGTCCATACGCTCGACTCAAAAGCGATGTGACAGTTGGGAATGTTCCCGCGTAAGTAGAAGTTAGAAACAGTGAATGAAATTTAAAAAAGTTCAAAGTAGGAGTTGCGACATTAACAAGTCTGTAAGAAAATTTTTAGATTATCAGCTCCTTCATTGGCGACGGCGAAATCCAGCTTTCCATCATTGTTCAAATCACCAACGGAAACCCAGAACGGACGGGAGCCATAACCGATCGAAAAAGTTTTCACAACAGCGAAGGAGCCATTACCATATCCAAGCAGCACCCCGACATTGTTTGTGCCATAATTGGCGACAATAATGTCCAGCAAAGTGTCGTTGTTAAAATCACCAACGGCAACCGCGTTCGGTTGAGAGTTCAAACCGGTTGAAAATGGTTTTTGGCTTGAAAAAGAACCATTACCCCATCCAAGAAATATACCAACAGTGTCATTGCCATGATTCGCGGTGACAATATCAAGTATCGTATCGTTGTTGAAATCACCAACAGCTATCGCCCATGGAGAGGAATCAGTTGAATATGTCATTTGATTTGCGAAAGAACCATTGTCATATCTCAGAAAAATAACAACGTTGTTAGTGCCTGAATTCGCAACCGTAATATCTATTTGACTGTCATTGTTAAAATCCCCAATAGCGAATGACTTAGGGCGAGATCCATTCCCAGTTATGCGACTCATTTGCTTTAGAAAACCTTCATTGGGATATCCGAGATATACTCTAACACTTTCCCCATTCAGATTACCGACGACGATGTCCAGTCGGGTGTCGTTATTAAAATCACCTACAGCTACAGATGAAGGATTAATGCCAGTTGAATATGTGATTTGTTTTGCAAAAAAGCCATTGCCATATCCAAGGAAGACACTCATATTGTTGCTATTCAAACTAACGACGACTATATCCAGTCGGTTGTCGCTATTAAAATCACCAACAGCTACAGAGTATGGTGAGGAGCCAGTTGAATATTTCGTTTGATTTGCAAAAGAGCCATTGCCATATCCGAGAAGGACACTTACAGTGTTGTCACCATTATTACCGACGACGATATCCAGAGAAGTGTCGTTGTTAAAGTCACCAACAGCTGCAGAGGATGGTGCGTAGCCAGTTGAATATTTTGTTTGATTCGCAAAAGAGCCATTGCCATATCCGAGAAGTACAGTTACAGTGTTGTCAATCGCATCAGCAACGACGATATCCAGATGGGTGTCATTGTTAAAATCACCAACAGCTACACAATATGAGAAAGAGCCAGTTGAATATGTCGTTTGATTCGCAAAAGAGCCATCACCATATCCGAGAAGGATACTTACAGTATTGCCACCCAAATTAGCGACGACGATATCTAGATGGGTGTCATTGTTAAAATCACCAACAGCTGCAGAGGATGGTGCGTAGCCAGTTGAATATGTCTTTTGATTTGCAAATGAGCCATTGCCATATCCGAGAAGTACACTTACAGTGTTGTCACCTGCATTAGCAACGACGATATCCAGATGGATGTCGTTGTTAAAATCACCAACAGCTACAGATTTTTGGTGAGAGCCAGTTGAATATTTTGTTTGATTTGCAAAAGAGCCATTTCCATGTCCTAGAAGGACACTTACAGTGTGAACGCCTTCGTTAACGACAACGATATCCAATCGGGTGTCGTTATTAAAATCGCCAACAGCTACAGACCTTGGACCATGGTCAGTTGAATATGTTATTTGATGATCAAAAGACCCGAGATCATATGTGACAAGCACATCTACATAATCGATGCCATCATATGCGACAATAATTTCTGAACGTCCATCTTTGTTGACACTACCAGCACCAACTACCAA